TGTCGCTGCACTGTCGCTGCATTGTTGCTGCACTGTCGCTGCATTGTTGCTGCATTGTCGCTGCACTGTCGCTGCATTGTTGCTGCACTGTTGCTGCTGCACATGGTGATTAATTTGTCGTGCCAAGCGATGCTGACCTCCCAGTGACCCTTCCTAATACACATCTCTAGAGAATTCCTGCTGAACAGTAACCAGCTCTTGCTCCTCTGCTACCAGTCTGTGGGGCTGAAACCTTGGGCTGCTTGAAGCTAGCAGGGGTGGTCTGATGTGCTCATGCATTAGTGTAACCAGACATTACATGACAGTCCTGAACAACAACTAATTAAAACGAGAATAAGGTAACAGCATAAATTAAACAGTACCTTCATTTCACAAAACGAACAAGAGTAATCCAGAGTTTAGGATGAAAAAAGAATGCTTTGTTATTGCTGGGTGGTAGTGCTGAAAGAAAGCCACTTACTTGAGGATTTGCTAATCGGGTGTTACTGTGTGTGTGCGAGGTTTTGTGAATATTTCTGTCTGGCTTTGAATAGGTCTTCAGCTTCAAATAAGCTGTCACATAAATCTGTAACTACTTGACAATGCATTGATCCGTTTAAGTAAAGCTGGAAGAACTGAGTTGTTGAAATTTAATTTACTCTTCCGAATGCCACAGCTATATCCTGCATGCCTCTCTCAGACTAGGTTGCCTGCTACAGTACAGTACAGTACAGTACAGTACAGTACAGTACATTACAGTACAGTACAGTACAGTACAGTACAGGTTGCCAGCTACAGTACAGTACAGTACAGTACAGTACAGTACAGTACATTACAGTACAGTACAGTACAGTACAGTACAGGTTGCCAGCTACAGTACAGTACAGTACAGTACAGTACAGTACAGTACATTACAGTACAGTACAGTACAGTACAGTACAGGTTGCCAGCTACAGTACAGTACAGTACAGTACAGTACAGTACAGTACATTACAGTACAGTACAGTACAGTACTGTACAGGTTGCCAGCTACAGTACAGTACAGTACAGTACAGTACGGTACGGTACAGTACAGTACGGTACAGTACAGTACAGTACAGGTTGCCAGGTACAGTACAGTACAGTACGGTACAGTACAGTACAGTACAGGTTGCCAGCTACAGTATTTACATCGTTATTACATCATCAGTAAATCTTATCAGAGAGGAACCTTTTCAAAATCTGTGGCATATCTACAGCTACTGTAGACGTAGGATATCGTGCATGGTGATTGGTCGACTGAGGCTGTGACCTTACTGTGACCCCCCGTCTTTCCAGATCAACTTCTTCAGTGACCACACGAAGGTGATCGTGTCGAGTGAACAGGACGGCCACTACGTGTCGTTCATAGACGAGCAACGTCGCGCGTACACCTACCGCGCCGTTCAGCTCGCGCACTTCGGCTGCTGCTCCCCCGTCCTGCTCTCCCGCCTCCAGTATGTGCGTGACGTCGCCAAGGGTCTCGGAGAGGAAGAGGGCGCCTCGCTGTGACAAGTGAACAGTCGTCCTGTGACAGAGGGCGCCTCGCTGTGACAAGTGAACAGTCGTCCTGTGTCAGAGGACGCCTCGGGGTGAATGTTCACAGGGACACCTTGCTGCGAAGGAAAAACTAAATCCAATTTAGGTTTAGGGGTCCTGCATGGTTGGCATGGCAACGGTAGCTGTTAGAAGTGAGGCTGTGTCTGCCATGGAGACTGGGTTGTGAGGAAGTGAGAGAGAAACGTGGAGAGATGTAGGGCTGCATATAGGAGGCAGATAGAGAGAGGTAAAGCTCCGTTTATCCGTCATTGGTTTGCGATGTTTGAGCAAGGAAGGCATTGTACGAGAATGAGACGTATAATAGATAGTTGTCATGATTCCGTGATAGATGGCGCTAGCGGTTAGATGCGGTAACGGAGTAGGGATGGCAGGATAACAGCTAGTCTTGCCACTCGTCACAGATTACTGAAGGCTGCTAGACATCTCACAGCCTGTTGTTTTCATCGTTTGTTCCTTTCAACTATTGTCGAGGGAGAGTGTAGCCAATCTCCTGTGATATTAAACTAGTGTTATAGACCACCAGGGGGCGGCACGTCCTCGTTATTGTCTCCCGAACGCTCACCGAATTGCAGGTGCTGCTGGGTTTCAGTAAGACACGTATGCAATCAAAATGTAAAAATGTAGTCGTAGAAATGGCGTATGCCTTCGACATGAGCTCCGGGTGATTGATAACCTGGCAATGACCCGAGGTCACGGGGTCACGGGGTCGTGTGGGGGTCACCTATCCACAAGTCGCAATCGATGATCTCAAGACTTATGAGCAGATGAGGTGTAGTTAGTCTGTTAGTTCATTAGTGTTGTTAGGCAGAGAGACGGCTAACGTATGGGCAGGCGTGCGCGCGTGCGTGCGGCTAACGTACGGGCAGGCGTGCGCCTAAAGTACGGGCAGGCGTGCGCGCGTGCGTGCGGCTAACGTACGGGCAGGCGTGCGCGCGTGCGTG